AGCTCCACAGATTTTTCTATACTGGCGTCTTTCAGCCTGAGTTCTGTACTCTAATCACTAATAGAAATCATAACAGCCATATGTGATTCCTTTGCTATCCATGTAAATATTTGAAAGGAGGAAGGATCCAAAAAGTGCAGCAAGTGAGAAGGGTTCAGCCTATGCTATCAGTTCATAAATGAAGACATGGGCATGTTTTAAGGCACTTTTTTCCACTTTGTACTTAAGGAAATTTCTTTCTTCATTTAAATGCTCAAATCCAATTCCTTTTGGATTCTTAAAATTTCACTTGTCTAGGCTTAAATCAGCCCATGTTTGAAAAACTAGAAAAAGTGTGCTGCAGTCAGTTGATCTAGGTGTTCTGTAGTTGGAGAACAGAACATTTCTGCTCCCTCTTTCACTGAAATTGATCTTCAGATCAAAGACCTTATCACTGAGTCTCTCACTCATTCCTGACTTAAATGTTTATATTTTAGTTAATTACATAGCAATAGTGACAACTAGTCTGTTTGATTGGGAAGGCAAGACCTGTCTTGCAGCAAATATTATGCTGTTAATTATGCTATTAATAGACTGTGGAGTAAGGACTAGAATCCTGCTGTCTTTACTGTCGTTCCCAGCATCACCTTTCTACTGCATGGCATCCTGTCTGTCAAATGTGAAGATGCCTACTGTCTCAGATTCCTTAGCTTTGGAAGGCTTAATTCATGCATCTTCAAAGGCCATCATACAGCTTGGCTGCTGCTGCTGTCTACTGTCATCAGGAATAGAACTTCAGAGGTCAAAGGAAAATCTCAATAGCTAAGCAAAAATTTTGAGAATCCAAATTTTGCACTTGGGCACCTTGGTTCCTGTATAGACGTAGTATTGGTTGTACACCTTTGCAATTGGGCTGCTAGACTGCTTTGTGCATTGGAATAGTTAGTTAAATGTGAAAATAGTTCCTTGAAGTAAGCAGGGTATATCAGAAATGACTTTGACCACTGATGACATACATGATGTCCCCTAACGGAACTGTGTAGCTGTTAGCAGGTGGTAATACTTACGGAACATGGTTCCTCTTTCTGTACCAGCTCCTTTCTGTAGTCAGTCTGTCATCAGTTAGGTAAAAGGAAACCCTAGCAAGTCAGGGAGGAGGTGGTGTGGGAACAGCCATGACACAAGCTACACTACCAGAATAGTTGCTGGTACTAAAGCAGTACTAAGCTGGTTATTCCAGCTTTGCAGCCTGATTCTGCTGGCAAGAAAACACAGAGTGACTGTGTGCAGGGCAAAATTTTGATCACTTTGTATATATATGTGTGCATAATATATAAAGTGCATGTCCATATGTCCACTCTGCTTCCAGCACATAGCATCCTGGTTGTTCATAAAAGCTTCTAAAGCATTGTTTCCATTGTTAAAATAGCTCATGAAAACCACGTCTCCACAGGTATGTGTGTTTAGAGTTATAAAAACATTTTGTTCTTTACGTGCTTTTATAGTTCATATAATTACAGAATATTTATCTCAAGTATTTCGCAAGTATACTTGTGTAATACCAGTAGAAGATTAAGTAAGAGCTACTTACTAGCACTGTTTTGCAAGAACATCAGATGTTATTGTGATGTACTGAGATTCGAGGTACTGAGCATGCATTTGCTTGCTTTCTTCCTGTAACCTTTTTGCTCTTTCGTATAATACAGCAGTCCTGTAACGATGGAGCGTGTTTTCCTTTACACAAATGCCAGTAACCACTTGAACAGGGCACTCAATTCCAGTTTTGATGTAATGGACAACAGTAGAGTATCTAAGCCAAGCTGGCAATCTTTGTGATTTACAGTGCCAAAAACTTCAAAGCTTCCTTTTACAATTCTAAAGGAATACAAGTTTGTGTTTCTTCATATCATCAAACTTAATTATTGGCAATAAGTAACTGCTGGCAAGAGCAGCACATCACATGGCTCCATTTCTGCTTTAGAAAAGGTCAGCATATGGCATAAACACTTTGCTGTACTGTACAGCCTTGTACTCTGATCACATAACACATGCTTCAGAAAGCATTATGCAATGTTATATGCACTGATTAATGACTGCTTGCACAAGAAGTTTTTCATTACCCTGAATGCTAGCATCCTGGGAATGATTAACTTTATGACATAACCCCTCATCACGTAAATATGGAAGATTCAAATATAGCCTCAGAATAACATGTTTTAGAAATAACTGAAAACTTCCCTGCTTAGCACTGTGTACAGCACATGATTAACAACTGCTTTAAACCTTTGGAGTTGAATAGGAAAACCTATTTGAGCAAACTGCACACAGGATTTATTTTTAGGGTTTAAAGTTTTACCCAGGATGAATTTTTTGCACACAGCAGCATCTTGTTTGCAGTGTTTTTCCTCTGCTTGTGTAAGTTTGAATTTCCTGAGAAAAATCCATGCCAACAATTTTCAGTGTTCAGCCAGTGAATTAAACAGAGCAAGTTAAATCTAGCCCTTATTCATGCCAGCAGCTGCATGTGTGTAAATGATTCAATCCAGTACGTTCAGCACGATAGTGAACACAGTTGTGTGCTTATATCAGCTTGGTTATAGAAGAGTAAATCCACAAGAATTGCTGTGATTTTTTTGCAGACAAAATAGCAAAACAAAATGTCCTGAATGAATCAGCTTGCAAACTTACTTACGGTCTGAACAGTGCTACACATTCAAATTTAACATTTTTATTTTCTCTTGAGTGGTTGTTCGATGTTCTTATTTTGCAGATTCTGGTGTTAAAAACCATGACAACAGTGCATCACAGTTGTTATCATCTGAAGGGTGTAGAAAAGAGGAAAAACTTGTAAATATAAATGTTCATCTCTGTTTTCCTCCACAAATGAAGATCTTTGTTTTTGAAGTAATGTCAGTTACTAGCAGTTAGCTGTACCTCAGCAGCTTTGTTTGGGATAAAGTTTTTTGGAAATTCAAGAACAGTTTTTACAAGTAAATAATTATGTTAAATTTCCACTTACCAATTTGCATTTAAATATCAGACTAAAAAAATATATCTGCTTTTTATGGTTCTCTCTCCTGTAAGAAATCCTTCTCACAGACAGTCAAACTAAATAAAATTACTTAAAGTCTTTATAGTAGGCGGCATAGTTTAGGATGTCACAGTGTTACTTCATGCATTCCATTTCTACAAAAATAATCTTCACTGAGAAAAAACAGAGAAGCTAAACATTGACTTTCAGTATGTTCTCTTTAATTTTTGCTTTTTCCTGCATTTCAACTCCTACAAGCAGTAGCAAAGGTTATAGGAAACAGTTTCTGACTAAGCATTAGCTACCACCATGCCCTCATTATAGCTGAGGGCTCTTATTCTTGCTTAGCCTACGTGCGGAGCCAGCTAGTCTTTCAGCTGTGATGACGAAATGCCATGCATTTCTTCCTGGAATGGGACACAGATAAGCAGCCACTTGTTATGCTGAGGTTTCAGATGAACTGTGCTAAGGGTTTCAAAACAGTCTGTCACAATTATATCAAGTTTCTTTAGCAACCAATTCATTTCAGACACTTTTAAGATAAAAAGGGAAGAGATGTTGGTTTATTTTCCCTTGTGGTTACACTGTTTAAACCTTCACAGGATATGACTGGACAGTTTACACATAGCCTGAATTTATTAATTTTAAATAAAACTGGTAGATCAAAATGTTTCTGTTCCTATCTTGAAATTCACTTTATTTATAGTTAATAAGTATACCTATTACTTCAGAGAAGAAACAAAAAGTTATGGCTGTGATATGCTGCTTCCAACATCCTGCTGTGCAAACTGGATTTCTGAGAACATTGAACTTATTCTGGGTCCAGTAAAAGCTGAGAGCATTCAAAGCTGTGTGGGACAGAGTGCTCGTGTTTTCATTTTGGGGTTGAATTCAGATGTGAGAACAGGAGTACACGGCAGGAGACCAGCTGACCTGTATCCCAGCAAAAGTAGGGAAGGCTATTTGTGAGATCATTTCTGGGGGCCAGTTTAGGTGATACCATACACTAACAAAAGGCGTAGTAGAATTAAACATAAACATCCAGACTGAAAACTAAATTCAGTTTCCTTTTAAGACAATAATTAAGATAATTTTCTTTTTCCATTTGCATAATGGAATTTGGATCAATTCTTAGGTCTGTAACCTTAATCCTGTAACGCATTCCAAATAAATGTGTAATTTACTGTGAGATCACTGATAATCTCAGTTATTCACAGTCCCTTCCCTCTCCCCCTTCTTGCATTCTTGAATGAAGAGGAAGCCTTTTGAAAAGGTCTAGAGAACACTAGATATTTTTAAATCCATCATTCCTCTTTATTTTTTTCCTTTTTTGGGCTAGTTATTGACTGCTGACTGAGAAAAAAATAACACTACATTTCCCCCATGAATAAATTATTTCTTCTTGCACATTTAACAGAAGAAGTCCTGACCTTGCAGAACAAGACACATAAAGAAGTCTGTGGTTCTCCATCACTTTTATACTCTCTTTTTTTTTCAAAATGCAAAAGACAACCTTAATACTGCCACTAGCAAGTCTTTTAAATGCCAGATAGTTGGTCTTCACAAAATTTATGATCCACCAAGTACAAAGATGAATTATTGACATCTTCTTCTTTGGAGTTTGAAGTTGTAAACTTAGATTTTAATTAAATACCACAATGACAAGTATAACTGTAAATTATACTTTTTAAATACTACCAATTCCAAAATCTCATTTTTTATGAAAATGATTGTTTATAAGCAATCTCACATGTTATTTGAAGCATCCTGTGGTGGCTTAGCTTGTTTTCTGTCTTTGGAAAAATTGATATGGATGTCTGAAAAAGACTGATTTTTCACTTCGGAAATGAAAAAAAGAAAGCAGTACCCTTTTCTCAAAATATACTGAAAAGTTAATTGGCATTCCGTGGTTCAAAATCTTCAAAGGTTATAAACTAAAAGTATGACAAAATCAAAATCTGTCATCTCACTGAAATCAGAACCAACAAACGCAGTCCCACCAATTCTGAAACTGGTTTTATCTGCCTTTTGGACTTTCTCACTTTGTCCTTGTACAGCTCTGGATGTTTGCAGCCGAGTTGAGCCAACTGACCATGCAGTGCCTTGAGTCTACACAATGATGAAGCGGCACATCTCCCTCTTTAGGAGAAAGAAGGTGAGGGGTCTCTAATTTGAGACTTTGTCTTCCATTGAGCCACCTATAGAAAACTAATGAGTCATTCTCTTCCTCTTGTAAGTGTAATTTATATTGCATAAGGGTTCAAAAGATAAAGGAGTGAGGAGAAAAGCTGCAGTCATATAACTTTGTTGCCTAAGGCTAACAATGTGTGGGTGGAGTATGGTGTACTATAGTGAGATCTGAGATCTGATCTATAGTGAGAACTGTGGCCAAATTCTTACTACATTGAGCAAGAGTTCAGACTGGTCCTGGGCGATCGTCAGCTGACATGATGCTTTGTTGTTATCAGTATACACTAGACCTAGACCCACTCAGATTTCTCTACATGCATTTCCATTTACTAATGGCAGTATAATTTAATAGAGAAAAAGAAGAAAATAGGTCCCTACAAATCAGATTTTTTTACACCTTGCCTTTACTAAATACAAATTAAAATAAAAGAGGGTAAGAGGCAAAGGGGAGGCAGAGAGCTGGAAGAGAACGTGCCTTAAAAGATAGTGCCCTAAATGTTAGCAGCTTTAGGCTATTTTAACTTATAAAAACAATTGCAATAGCACTTGCCAGTCAGTCATGCTTGACTGAAATGTAAACAGTTTATGGTGGTAAATTAATAACAGATAAACAGGTATATGGAACACTGAACAAGGTGTTTGGACCATACAGTACTGTTTATGAAATAAGCAGTGCTTACAATAAATGCGTCATTGTGACTTTCAGTTGCTATGGAGAATCTGAGGGTTGAAAGTGGTGTTTTTTATGCCCGTTGTCCATTCTTCAGGGAGATATTCCATTGTTAGAAGCAGATAGCGATTTATAAACCCACTGCTATTTTGGTGTATTTAAATACAAAAAAGTTGCTAAAATAGGCCAAAGTTACATATCCAGCAAAAAGATATTGTCAGCTCTTCATTCTGCTAGGGTAAAAGCAAATTTCTCAGCAGTTTCTTTGGGTTAAAGTATCTGAATACTTGGGTGTATGTTATGAAGAAGGACAGAAGGGTGATTGTAGTAGGCGACTTCCTTCTGAGAGGAACAGAGGGCCCTGTATGTCAGTCTGACCCTACCCGCAGGGAGGTGCGCTGCCTCCCTGGAGCCCAAGTGAGGGATATTTCTAGGGAACTTCCTAGTCTGATTCACCCCTCTGATTATTATCCCTTATTGATAATTCAGGCCAGCAGCAACAAAGTCACTGAGAGCCTGAGAATTATCAAAAAGGACTTCAGGAGATTGGGGCAGTTAGTGGATGGAGTGGATGTACAGGTTGTATTTTCCTCTATCCCTTCAGTGGCGGGGAAGGATGCTGAGAGGAGCAGGAAAACCCTTCTCATGAATACATGGTACAAACACAAATTTTTGTTTCATTTGACCGTGGGGCAGTTTACTCAGCAACTGGTCTAATGGCTGTGGATGGGTCTTGCCTGTCTCAAAGGGAGAGATGAATCCTAGCCCAGGAGCTGGCAGGGCTCACTGAGAGGGCTTTGAACTAGACATGAGGGGGGAAGAGGATAAAACTGGGCCCACTAGAGAAGAGCCTGGGGGAATGATGATGGGATTGGAGGTGAGGCAAGGGGCTCAGCTAAAGTGCATCTACATCAATGCAAGCAGCTTGGGCAACAAACGGAAGGAGCTGGAAGCCACTGTGCAGCAAGCAAACTAGGACTTAGTTGGTGTTATGAAAACATGGTGGGATCGCTCCCGTGACTGAGTGTTGCAGTGGATGGGTATAAACTCTTCAGAAGGGGCAGACAAGGAAGAAGGGGTGGTGGCGTGGTTCTATGTTAGAGAGTGTTTTGATGTTGTTGAGCTTGGGGCTGGGAATGATTCGGTTGAATCTTGATGGGAGATCACAGGGCATGTGTGAGAAAACGGGGGCATCAGGCCTAGCCATCATGGGTTCATGCAAGTCAGGTCCTGCTTGACTCCTTCTATGCCTGAGTGACCCACTTGGTGGATGAGGGAAAAACGGTTGACATAGTGTACCTAGACTTGAGAAAAGCCTTCAGCACTGTCACGCACAATATTCTCCTGGAGAAGCTGGCAGCCCATGGCTTGGACTCGTACACCCTTTGCTGGGTAAAGGATGGCTGGGTGACCGGGCTCAGCGAGTGTTGATGGATGGAGTGAAATCCAGCTGGGAACCAGCCACAAGTGGTGTTTGCTTGGGTACTGGGGCCTTTCCTGTTCAGTATCTTTCTTGATGGCCTGGATGAGGGCATTGAGTGCAGTCTCAGTACGTTTGCAGGTGACACAAAGCTGTCAGGAAATGGCAATCTACCTGGGGTAAGGAAGGCCCTACAGTGCAACCTGGGCAGGCTGGATAGCTGGGCTGAGACCAACAGGCCCAGCAGTTCAACAAAACCAAGAGCCAGGTCCTGAACTTTGGCCTTAACAACCCCAGACAATGCTACAGGTTTGGGGCAGAATGACTGGAAGATTGTGTAGAGAAAACAGACCTGGGGTTACTGGTTGATGCTCAACTCAAGTCAGCAGTGTGCCAAGAGGGCCATCAGAGAACACTATCAGAAATAGTGTTGCCAGCAGGAGTGAAGTGATCATCCCTCTGTACTGAGCCCTGGTAAGGCTGCACCTCGAGTACTGTGCTCAGTTTTGGACCCCCTCAGTACAAGAAAGACTTTGAGGTCCTGGAGCATGTTCAGAGAAGGGTAACGAAGCTAGTGAGGACTCTGGAGCACAGGGCTTATGAGGAGCACTGATGGAGCTGGGATTGTTTAGTCTGGAGAAGGCAAGGCTCAGGGGTGACCTTATCACTCTCCACAACTACCGGAAAGGAGTTTGTGAAGAGGTGGAGGTTGACATCCTTTCCCATGTAACTAGCAATAGGACTAGAGAGAATGTCATGCCAGGGGAGATTCTGGATGAATATTAGGAAATACATCTTCTCTGAGAGTGGTGAGTCACTGGAACAGGTACGCAGGGGGGTGGTGGAGTCACCGCCCCAGTAAGTGTTCAAGAAACATTTAGATGTTGTACTGAGGGACATAGTTTAGTGGGAAATATTGGTGATAAATGGACAGTTGGACTTGGTGATCATAGAGGTGTTTTCCAACCTTTATGATTCTATCATTCTGTGATTGCATGTATTTTGGATTCTGTCTGCACTTATAAATGATTTACACAACAAAAACAGATAATAAATCGTTTCAGTAACTGTTTTTTATGGCATAATTGTTGGCATAGATACTAGCTTTAAGGGCTCACTTAAAAGAAGATCGTATTTATGATTTCTATTGCACATAGACATTACCTAGAATGATAGATTAATAAAAAATTGTGTATATTTGGATCATTTTTGAGGTAGATATTTAATTTTAATGAATTCTGCATAAATTTTTTTCAGGCATCATTTATGTATCTGATACTGAAGTGTAGCTGTGTAGCTTCTTAGTGTCAAAGCTATGAAGTGTTAAGAATTCTTACTGCTCACTGGTAACTGGCAAGATCAATGATTCCCCAGTTTACCAGTTAGGTGGAGTGAATTCTTTCCTATCTGTAGGTGTTGAGGTGGATTTTGTTATGCTGAATTATGCCTGCTGGCAGCACTATTCTTTCTCCATCAACTACAGAGAATTTTCCGTGAATTCAATATATGCTCCAGAGCACTCCTTCTCTCAAACCCTCCAAACTTCACTTGCAAAGCTTGGTTTGAAAGCTAGCTCTACACTAAGTACATTGTCAGTAATGTTGGCAGCAGTTACACTTCAAGGTACTATCAGTTGGGCTTGACACAAAGCTCACATAAGTATGCCTGAAGACAAGCTGCAGAACATGCAAGCTGTCAAGTAAAGGAAAGGTTGTATCGATCTTCTGTTGTAATGTACCATAGCACTTGCCTGCTGTGTGCCAAGACATAGAACTGTGTGTCTGGCCTTGCAGCAGGTATATGCCAGGGTGGCCAGTATGGTGTGCACAACATAGTGTGAGATTCTTCCTAGAGGAGCCTTATGTTGCTTGCTACAAGGGCAGATTTTACAAGCACAATATGGGTAAAGTGTGCCAGAATCATGGCAGTGCTGTAGATGCCAAAGCGCTTAATGGAATGTGCATATCTGGTATGGCATACATACAGATAATTCTGGTCTGTGTTTGATGTTTTGAGTTGAGATATGTAACTGTACACTGATTACAAGCTGTGCAGTTCACAACTCTGTGTCCTTACAGCGGAACTGCACTGTGGCCTATCGCAGGTCTGGCTGTATACAGGACCCCAGTACTGAGTGAGAAAGATAGGTGTACGTTCAAGGAAAAGTTAAGGAATTAACCAAACCATCTGGAGTGATGAAATAATAACATTTTGTTTCCATAAAACTCTTACCTTCCTCTACCATTTGGCTTTGCACAGACTTGAATTATTTAATCACAGTTCTCATTATCCTTGCATGATCTTTGAAATATTACCCTTACCTACCCCTTTGTCCAATTTTCTTAATTCTCCAAACAATAAACTTTCTGCTATATTTTGTTCCCTAATAAGAAATTGGTTCCCTTGTCACACCAGGCTTTTGGGAGTAATAAACGCTGCCTCTACTGCACAGTTTTTCCATCTCACAATCCTGAGATGGAAGAATCTGGGAGCAATGGAAGGAGGTTAAGAAAATGTCTGCTCCCAAAAGGATAGGTGTGTGATTTACTGTTGTGCTTGTGCTGAGGCAATTAGCAGTCTGATGTTTAACTTTGCTGTTGTTTAACTTCTGTAGGCACAACCACATGATCCACAGTGATTTTGATACAAAGCTTTGGTTATGCAAAGTCAGCCACTGTCTTTTTTGGAATTAGAGAAAGAGGAACTCTTTTTCATGAGAATGTTATGTCATTCAGATACCTTAACCCACTGATGACCTTAAAGGAAGAAAATAAAAAAAGTCACTTAATATATAAATTCTTAAGTTGGCAATAGAATTTGCTTTGCAAATATGAGCATTTGGCAAGTTTCTACATTTTTCTCATCAAAACTGAAA